CCGGCCGCTCAATATGTCCAGCCCCAGAGGAGCGGGGCTTTGCTGCCCTTCCCTGGAAGCTCTGGGGTAGGTGGCAGCATCAAGGCTTGTCGCAGCCTTGGGTCCCAGGCAAGGCCAGTCAGTCACCGGACCTGTGGGCCGCCAGGCCCCTTTCACCCTGTTGGTCGTGAGTTTCTCACGTCCTTCCCAGCAATCAGGTCCCTTTCCGGCTGGAGGGCCCTGTTTTCTGCAGGCTCCAGCAAGGGCCGGGGACAGCTCTGTACTTCGAGGGGTCCAGCTGATGCTCCCTGGTCGTTTCCGAGCCTGGGAGATACTTCCTCCCAGCTCCGTTTTTGGGTTGGCTCTTGGTGAAGGTGAGGGAGTCAGACCCACCGCCAGGAGGGAAGGGTTTGGACCTGTCTCGCGGGGGCTCATTCTGAAGCTGGGGGAGGATTTGGCCCTTGGGCCTACTGGTTCCTCCCTTTCTGCACTTGGGAGGTATTTCACCTGGGGCTCCCGCGGACACGGAGGGTGACTGGTGACTGGGATTTGGGCTGCCCACGCACACATGCACACACTTGTTTGCTCGTGTGGCTTTTTCCACAGCAGAGAGAAGACGGCTCTGGGATGATCTGGCCCAGGCCTCTCCTTGCCACCTGCCTTTGGTCCATCAACACTGCCCGGTGTGCACTCCCTGCCTGGGTGTTTCACCCCTGGGGTGAACATCAGTTCTTTTCCAGTCACCTCTCTGTTTTAGCTTTTCCCAGCTCAGGAACAGAGCAGCCAGAGTTCTCGCTTACAGCCCTCAGGTCACAAGTGGGAGCAGGAGGTCCTGTGTCAGTGCGGCCGTGCTGCTGCGGCTGGTTTGGCTCAGCAGCCGGCTCTACAGCTCGTACCTCACTTCTTGACGCTGGGCTGGCTTCTGGCTCTTCCCTGCTTACATGAAGGCGCTCTCGTCACAGGCAGTTACGATACTACTGACAGACCCAAGAAGCTGTGCCTCTGTCCGTGAGCTTGTAGGTGGAGGCTGAGACCGAAGGACAGTCCTGGGGATGTTGGAGGGAGGGAGAGCGTTTCAGGGTCCCCGGCAACAGCAACTCTGAACTACAGCTCAGAGGCTGGCGCCCTGTGACACGTGCCTGTGGCCAATGCCACATTCCCCCTTACTGAATGGAGCCCCACCCACCTGCCAGGTGTTTTTTCTTGTGGAAAGTTTGCAGGCATCACGGGGTGGGTGGATTTGCTGGTTAAGCCACGGGTGAAGGAAGGGCTGGGGGTGTGGCTTTGTTATGGCTCATCACAGCCAGACAGCCATACATGGTCACTGCAGCTCCAGGGCTGTGGCCCGGTGACTCACCCCCGAGAGGCTGATGGGACGGGAACAGCCAGAGCTAGTGGAGGGCGGCTGAGACCTGGGGGCTGAGAGCCCCAAGTGTCACTGTCACCTGCCCAGAAACAGTCTGGGGCAGCTCTGCATGGACTTAGCCTCCGAGAAGAGGTTCCGAAGAGCCGGAAGACAAGCCGCTGCCACTTGTCAGATTCTGGGCCAGGACAGGACAGCCTGGCCCTGTCGCTTCTCTGTAATGTGTTCCTAGGAGTGGGCATTGACTTTAGTGCCAAATTGGTTCTTTCTTGAAAGGAGGGCCTGCTTATTTTCCCTAGAAAATGCTGCTCTTGAGACTGGCTGGTGTGGTATTTAGGGAGAGGAGAGCGAGTTTAGATACTCACTTAGTCATGGCTGTGCAGTGCAGGCTCACTTGGCACCAGGCCATGGAATTGCTCTGAGCATTTTTACTGGAGACACTTGTGGGATTTCCAGGCATTAAGTGAGGCCTTTGACAGAGAAACTGCGGCCAGACCAGCAGCTCTTGGGGTCAGGGTCAGAGTTTACTCTCTCTCCAGGGACAGCCTGGGGAGGTTTCTGGAGGCAGAGGACTGCCCAGCTTTCTGTAGTTCCCTGAGCCTGTGAATGAATGAGAGACAGAGGGAGCGGCCAGAGGGAACTGGCAGAGCCCTGTGGGTGCAGCAGGGAAGGGGCCGGTTCCTGAGAGCCGGGGTGATGAAACGTCTGCCTTCCCACACGTTCACCTGGCATGACAGACAGAGAACTTAGAGCAAAGTCGAAGGGTTTTCATAGAGCAGGTGGATCCCCTTGAAACATCTGCCCTTTCTTCTAAGATTTGTAAAAAATGTTAAACTGACCCCGTCTTTTTTTGCAATGCTGACAGTGTTGTGTGTGTGTCTTTTTACTTTTTAAAAAGTCGTTACCCGGCAAGACACAAGGTGGCTATTTCTGGTTGGTCCCTTGATACTTTCTGGGTTTTGAAACTTTCCTGCCAGTAAACCCAGGAATCGCGGAGCCCCGGGTCGCTGGGCTTGCAGAGGGTGTCTGGAGTTGTTTGCCCTTCGGGGCCTGGTTGAAATGCTCCGTCTCCCACATTTCTCACCTGGGAGTTTCGGGCTCGTGCTGAGGCTGCTTGGCATCCTCTGTCCACACTGACACGAAGGCCCTTTGCCTCTCCCCAGCCATGGATTTCCCTCAGCACAGCCAGCACGTCTTGGAGCAGCTGAACCAGCAGCGGCAGCAGGGGCTTTTGTGTGACTGCACTTTTGTGGTGGACGGTGTTGATTTTAAGGCCCATAAAGCAGTGCTGGCCGCCTGCAGCGAGTACTTCAAGATGCTCTTCGTGGACCAGAAGGATGTGGTGCAACTGGACATCAGTAACGCAGCAGGTACCCTGTTGGGTCCAGGGGCAAGTTTGTTGAGGGCCAGAAGCTCTGGCTGACCGTGTGCCCTCCTAACACAGTCCCTGCCCTCCTGGGAGCAATACCTTCAGGCTGTGGGGTGCACCAGGCCTCCCATACAGGACCCATGAGTGTGTGGGTACCAAGTTTCTACCACATTTTGGGGGCCTGTGTAGACTGGGAGCAGGTGGTGAGGGGAGAACTGGCAGGAAGGGCTCACCATGAGCTCCAGGCCAGAGTGAACACAGACAACAGGTGGGCTCTGAGTCCTGAACCCCCAATTCCAGTGCTAACCATGAGGAGGATGGCAAGGGTTGGGGCTGGGGCAGGGGATCAGGAAGGCCTTGGGATTGAAGAAGGAACTGGTCAGATTTGGTCTCCCAACTCAGCATGGCATGATGTGCTATGAGGTCAGGGCAAGGTCATGTTCCCCCATTTTATAGATGCGGAAACTGAGACCCAAAGAGTTCAGGTGACTGGCCTGGAGGTCAGCGAGAGAGTTTGTGGCAGAGCGCCGATGAAAGTCCTTACTATCACTTTGGTTGGATTGCCTTCCGGCGGTGAGGAGTAGCGGCGGGGTAGAGTGTGTCCAGGGTGGGCATTTACACGGTCTGTCCTTCACGCAGGGCAGGTGTTCACACCTTCTATCTTCTGTGCAGAGCAGGCGTTCACACCTTCTGTCTTCTGTGCAAGGCAGGTGTTCACATCCTCTGTCCTCCGTTGAATCCTCTGTGCAGGCTGGGCTTTCCCACCCTCTGTCCTCCGTGTAGGGCGAGTAGTCACACCTCTGTTTTCTGTGTAGGGTGGGCGTTCACACCCTCTGCCCTCTGGTTGTACCCCATTTGGAGGCTGTTATCTGGGCTGAGACTCCCCCAGTTGCTTGCCTCTCTGCCAGCACAGGAGATGGGGAGAGGACGGCCTGTCACCTTGCTCTTTACAATTCCCTGGATCCTGCCGCCGAGTGTCACCTGCTGGTGCCAGGCCTGGAGGCAGGTCTGTGATGGCTGTCTGTGTCCTTGGCAGGCCTGGGGCAGGTACTGGAGTTTATTTACACGGCCAAGCTCAGCCTGAGCTCTGAGAATGTGGACGATGTGCTGGCCGTGGCCAGCTTCCTGCAGATGCAGGACATCATCACGGCCTGCCATGCCCTCAAGTCACTCGCCGAGCCGGCCACCAGCCCTGGGGAGAATATGGAGGCCTTGGCCATGGAAGGTAAGATTGTTGGCAGGCTTTCCTGAGCAGGTGGCTCTTGATGGGGGCTCTGCCTCTGCCTCTTTGTCACCTCTCTGGGTCTCAGTTTCCTCTTCTGGCCTTGCCTGCGTTGTGGGGTGCTGGTGAGGTTTAGCTGCAGTAGAGTCTGAGAAAGGCCTCTTGGAGGCGCCCCTTGCCTACCCTGTCCCCCCTTTCTCCAGCTCCCCTGTGCTTCGCTGCTGAGAACTGGCGGTGGGCCTGGTTCAAGGCCACGCACCTGGCGCGCTCCTCCTGCACGCTCCTCTCTGTGCCCTTCCTCTGTTCCCCTCACTGCCTCAGAAAAGCTCCTGACACCTGGTTTGGGCCAGGTTCCTTGTGAAACACTTTCAGAGAACCCGCTCCTCTCCTTCTAAGCACCGATCTGGCAGCATTGATATTTCACCTGTGAGGTCTGTGTCCCGGCCGGTCTGTGCGCCCCCCAGAAGCAGCAGCTATGGTTGGTATGTCCAGGCCTGTCGGCAGCCAGGTGCACAGTAGGTGCCTTGTGCATAATTTGTTGAATGAACAAACCAAGAAACCACTACTTAGATGCACCTCCAGGGAGGATCCAGAAGAGCTGGCGAGTTCTGGGAACCCTCACCTCTCCAAGTGGTGGCACTTGATGGGAAACAGAAGGTCTATCTGGTTCCATCTCCAGGAGGGGACAGGAGAGCCAAAGAGAAGGCTGCAGCCACCACGCTGAGTGAGCTGAACCCTGCTGGAGGCAGTCCACCCAGGGGCCCAGGCAGGGAGCCCAAGGAGGAGCGAGGCGGTCAGGCAGAGAGTGCAGCCAGCGGTGAGTTGTGACGCTGAAGCCAACTGTTCCACCATCTCCCTGGGCCCCTGTACAGTGAGGGGCTTCCTCAGGAGGCTCCTGGGGCTGGGAATAGAGTGGCACCCTTGAGCTCAGGTTACCCCGAAGGAACCACTGTTGATCTGGGGTGTCTGGTCCAGCCAGAGCAGAGGCCAAACAGCCTGAGCTTGGATGTGCTGGCCCCACCCAGACCCCACCTACCCTTGAGCCACAGCCACTACAGGGGCCTGGTCCAGGGAGCCATTCAGTCCCTGGATGGAGTCGATAGGGTCTCAGTCCCGCCTCGCCACCCCAGGTGCAGAGCAGACGGAGAAGGCCGATGCCCCCCGGGAGCCACCGCCAGTAGAGCCCAAGCCCGACCCCACCGGTGGCATGGCTGCTGCTGAAGCCGAGGCCGCCTTGTCGGAGAGCTCAGAGCAAGGTACCGCCACCCAGCCAGGCCCACCCTCACTCGCACACCTCCCTCTCACACAGTTCCCCCGGGTCCCTCTCCTCCTACTACAGCTGATCCCACTCTGAGCCACCCACTCACTTCAGCTTTGGGGCCAACATCTTTTCTCATTCTTGAATTTGGACATCAGTCTCTTGGTTGTGTTACCTGGCTGTGCTTCCCGCTGGCACAGAAGCATTGCTGACACCCAGGGCCGAGCACCAAAGGGAGCCTTGTACCCACACCACACAACCCCGTGCTTGTTGGCTGACGGTGCCCTTGCTGCCCTGCAGCCCGCCAGGGTGCCCATGCCCTGAGGCTGCCTCCATCCTCCAAGCAGCCAGTGTCCTGGTCAGCAGCTCCCCTGGTGCTGCCTTGGCCAGGGCTGGGACCATTTATTGGTGGTGCCCAGACATTACCAGGCTCTGCCAGGTGCCCATGCAGAGAGAAGGGCCTGTGTCCCGGAGCCAGGTTGGCCTCCTGGCATTTGTGTAACTCTGAGGTCACGTCCCTTTGGGAGCCCCTGTGCCCTCCCTGGCCCCTCAGTGCCTGCCCTTTTCATCTCAGAAATGCAGGTGGAGCCAGCCAGGAAAGGAGAAGAGGGCGAGGAGGACGCCATGCCTTCTGGGGTCAAGGAAGAAGGGCCGCAGCTGGACAAGGGGGATGCCCCCGAGGAGAGTGAGGAGTCGGCCAGCACGGACTCGGGCCAGGAGCTGGGCGCAGAGGCCCGGGGCCTGCGCCCAAGCACCTATGGCGACCGTACCGAGTCCAAGGCCTATGGCTCCATCATCCACAAGTGCGAGGTGCGGCCACGGGTGGCACCACCCGCCCTGCCCAGCCCCATCCTCCGCCCAGCAGCCCCCTCACACCCGATTCCCGCGCCCTGCAGGACTGTGGGAAGGAGTTCACACACACGGGGAACTTCAAGCGGCACATCCGCATCCACACAGGCGAGAAGCCCTTCTCGTGCCGGGAGTGCAGCAAGGCCTTCTCTGATCCAGCCGCCTGCAAGGCCCACGAGAAGACGCACAGGTGCAGTGCCCGGCCTGCTGCTTGTCCCCGCTGGCTCAGCCCTGGTAGGACCCCAGCGACCCCTCCTCTCCCTTCTGACCACCAGCCCGCTGAAGCCCTACGGCTGCGAGGAGTGCGGCAAGAGCTACCGGCTCATCAGCCTGCTGAACCTGCACAAGAAGCGGCACTCCGGCGAGGCGCGCTACCGCTGCGAGGACTGCGGCAAGCTCTTCACCACGTCCGGCAACCTCAAGCGGCACCAGCTGGTGCACAGCGGCGAGAAGCCCTACCAGTGCGACTACTGCGGCCGCTCCTTCTCCGACCCCACCTCCAAGATGCGCCACCTGGAGACTCATGACACTGACAAGGAGCACAAGTGCCCTCATTGTGACAAGAAGTTCAACCAGGTGTGTGGGCACCGCCCGGGGCGCCTCCACCCTGCACACTGAGGGGCAGAGGGGGCCCTCGAAGACACAGGCTTAGTGGGAAAAGTAGGTGCTGAGTAGAGCGTGACCCTCCCCAGGACAGAGCTCTGCCCGAGAAAGTGAGAAGGTGGGTGAAGTCAAGATGGGGTTCAGACCAGAAAGAAGTGGGGTGGGCATGGCTTCCCTCTCACTGCTAGGATCTGGAACATTCCATTGGCCTTAAGCAAAGATAGAGCCATCCACTGGCTCCTGGGAGGACCCAGAATCAGTTGTTCCCTGGCGGAGGGGCTGCGGATGGGGCCCAAGGCCATATTGTGTGGGGTGGCCTTTCTGACCCCTGCCTGGCACAGGTGGGGAATCTGAAGGCCCACCTAAAGATCCACATCGCGGACGGGCCCCTCAAGTGCCGAGAGTGTGGGAAGCAGTTCACCACCTCAGGTAGGGCCAGGCTGCCTGGCTGCCCCACACCCTCCACTCCGCGGCCACCTCCTGATGCCCCACACCAGCCCCCTGTCTGTCTCCACAGGGAACCTAAAGCGGCACCTTCGGATCCATAGCGGGGAGAAACCCTATGTGTGCAACCACTGCCAGCGGCAGTTCGCTGACCCCGGCGCTCTGCAGCGGCACGTCCGCATCCACACGGGTGGGTGAGCAAGCCCAGTGGTGGGAGCCTAGGAGCTGGGGAGGGCACATGGAAGGAGAAGTTGGCGCTAACATCTTTTGCTGCCCATCCCCAGGCGAGAAGCCATGCCAGTGCGTGATGTGCGGCAAAGCCTTCACCCAGGCCAGCTCTCTCATCGCCCACGTGCGCCAGCACACTGGGGAGAAGCCCTACGTCTGCGAGCGCTGCGGCAAGAGGTCCTGCCCCACCCATGCCTAGGGTGCTCTGGGGTCCCCACACTTTGCAGGGTGAAGGGGTTCAGGAAACACACTAGGGCTCAGTTGCAAACCGGGCCGACTGCTGCCCGAGCCCAGTCCAGTTGGCCCCTCCAGTCTAGAAAGAGAGGCAGGCGGCCAGCCCAGCTTCCCTGGCCCAGGCTTGGGCAGTTCAGGCTAGTCCCTCCCCTCTGTGGCCCTGCAGATTTGTCCAGTCCAGCCAGTTGGCCAATCACATTCGCCACCATGACAACATCCGCCCCCACAAGTGCAGCGTGTGCAGCAAGGCCTTTGTGAACGTGGGGGACCTATCCAAGCACATCATCATCCACACTGGTGAGTGTGTGCCCGCCTGCCAGTCTGGCCTGTCCCATGCCCTGATCTTGCTAGGGGGAGGGAGGGAGGCACCCCCAGATTGCAGCGTGGGTACTGGCACTTGGAACAGGTGGCTTTGAAGGCAGTTCAGTTCAAGTGCGGACCCCATTTTCTTAGAGCTTCCAGAAGGTGCAGGGGCCACTGGAGGCTCCTGTGCAGCTCTGGTGGCTGCCCCCGAGCACTTCCTGCTGGAAAATTCAGGGCTGCTGGGGAAGCTGGAGGCCACTGAGGTCCTCCCCCCTCCCCCAATGGCAGGAGAGAACCTTGCCTCCCCCCCCAGGAGAGAAGCCTTACCTCTGTGACAAGTGCGGTCGCGGCTTCAACCGCGTGGACAACCTTCGTTCCCATGTGAAGACCGTGCACCAGGGCAAGGCAGGCATCAAAATCCTGGAGCCAGAGGAGGGTGGTGAGGTCAGCGTAGTCACTGTGGATGACATGGTTACGCTGGCCACCGAGGCACTGGCGGCAACAGCCGTCACTCAGCTCACAGGTGCGGGCTGTGGGCAGCAGAGGGTGGTCACAAGCAGCTTGCCTCTGGGGTGGCAATGAAGGGGCAGGTGCCTCTGGCCTTAGGCCCTGGTGATTCTGCCCACAGTGGTACCAGTGGGGGCTGCAGTGACTGCTGACGAGACGGAAGTGCTTAAAGCTGAGATCAGCAAAGCTGTGAAGCAAGTACAGGAAGAAGGTGAGTGAGAAGGGCTGACCAGGGGTGAAAGCTGGTGGAGCTCAAGGGTCCTTCGCATCCTGACTGTGGCCCCCACCTCCCACAGACCCCAACACCCATATCCTCTATGCCTGTGACTCCTGTGGGGACAAGTTCCTGGATGCCAACAGCCTGGCCCAGCATGTGCGGATCCACACAGCACAGGCACTGGTTATGTTCCAGACGGACGCGGACTTCTATCAGCAGTACGGGTCAGGCAGCACGTGGCCAGCCGGGCAGGTGTTGCAGACTGGGGAACTGGTCTTCCGCCCTCGGGATGGGGCTGACAGCCAGCCTGCTCTGGCAGAGACACCCCACACAGCCCCAGAATGTCCACCGCCTGCTGAGTGAGCAGGCATCCCTCCTCCTGACTGTTTATTTAAGGATGGGCGGCCCCGTTCCCTAGAGAGAATAAATTTGATTATTTTCTAATGCTGCCTACAGCTCCCTGTGGGGGTGGGGTGGGGAGCTGGCAGCTGTGGCGGATGCCCCAAAGGGCTGCTCTACCCAAGAACCAGTCGGCACAGACCTGCTTCTTGGGAAAGCCAGGCTGTCCCTTCTGCGGAATGGGACTGGAGCCCTGGGACCTGTTTAGAAGCACGCTGGCTGCTTTGCCCAAGTCAGGGTGCGGGGCTCCCTGCACCCCATCCCCTCAACCAATCTTCTCTTTGGAAGCTTCTCACCTGTTCACCATGAGGATCCCAACTCTCTTCTCTGCCATGGAGCTGCTCCCCCTCTGCCTGGGGGTTGGGAGCTGGGCCAGCAGAGGCTGGCCACACTACTTACCAGGATCCAGGCAAACCAGAGAGCCCAGCTCAGGTGCCATTCAGCCAGAGCAACAAGGTAGGCAGAGAGAACCAGGCCCAACAGGCCAAAACCCCGTTTTGTTGGGTTTGGGGAAGCAGAAGGGCTCTACACTGACTTCACAGTAACCTTGGCCTGAGGATCATGGCCAAGCCAGTACCATCTTTTGGGAACATTTACTTGCCTTGAATCAATAGAGTCTCTCCCACCAGGTGAGGGCCTGGAGGGACAATGAGCAGCTAGGAGCTTTGATGGGGAGATGGGAGACACAGCACTGCTTAAACTAAGAGCAGAAGCAGAGACTGGGGGCCGGGAAACGTGAGATGCCATCTCTGCCCTTTCCAAACAGTTTCCCTCCAGCAGCTGTCATCCCTTACTCAGAGATAGTAGCTTCTTGCATCAAAAGCATAGGTCTTTGGAGGAGCCCCATGGATATTGCAAGTGAGACACCAACACTGCGTTCCGTGTTCCCGTCCCTGCCCAATTCCTCAGCTTGTACTTCCAGCTGCAGGGGAAGCCTGGCCCACCACCCCATCTTCCTGTCAGGAATACTGTTCCACCAGGCTGCCAGGCTGTGCCACTGCTGCTGCAGGGCTGGCCTGCACCACACCCAGAGGAGGAAGGGTGAAGAGTCAAGACACCAAAGCTTGCTCAAGATGTTTGAGTGTGCATGGCTGTGGTTTTACCTGTAGTGCCTTCCACATTATCCAGAACCAATCAGAGCCTTGAAGTATCACAGGTCTTTACAGCACCACAGCACTGAGAAAAGTTAGGTCTGTGACAAAGATCTGTTTTATACAAGATAAAATGATCCTTGGGGGGTTTAAGTGGTAGATCGGAAATAGGTTCCCTATACAGACTGAAGGCAAAAGTGGGATGAGGGCTAGCTACTCCCATAAGCCAAGGACATTTACTTGGTCCTCCCACCTTAGTGACAATTACATCCACACTTGACATGTTTTGTATTTTTTAATAAAGTTTGTAATCCAATGGACACACAAAACAAAACTGCGCTGAGAAAAACAGTTTCATAAATTAATAGGTGTTAGGAAGTTGTGGGGAGAGGTCAAGGTCACATAAGAAGAGGGAAGCCAGTCTTTTTGCAGTGTGTGTGTGTTTGTGTGTGTGTGGTCTGTGTGAGAGAGAGACACACACACACACACACACTTTCAGATCGCAGGGGCAGGGCCCGGCTGTAACGAAGCGCACTTATACAAATGAGTGACAATACAAAGTCTGAGTATGAAAATAAGATTTTCTCTTAAAACACATTTTTGGCACAGATTAAAAAAAATGTATGTCAGGGGGATTTGATTTTTTAAGTCAGTATTATATATATTTATATATACACACATCCCAAGTTCTGCATATCCCACCGACAGAAAATCCTTCGGTTTGCTCTGTTTCGATTGTAAGCTGTACATCCTGGGTGAATCAGATGGTGGTGGCAAGAGAATTAAGAAAGATGACAGCCAGATGAGCAAGGAGAAGGGAGGAGATGGGGACAAACCCAATGAAATGTTCCTTGACCCCAAGGTTTCAGCAGCAGTTTGAAGTCCTGCGTTGAGTCTGTGACGTGTGTTCACATACACCAAGATGTCCAGAGTGCCACAGCCTGTCTTCACTATGCAAAAGTCCAAGTCACTAATTTAGTGCAAAGGCAGTTCTGTTTTCTTGTTTCTTAAAAACAAAAACAAAAAAATTTAATTCCACTGCCCTGTTCCTTTTCTCCAAAAAGAGGAGAAACCCAGCCCCAAGGTGTCTGCAAGTCCATCGGTTGGTGGTCTGTCCTTGGGCTAAATGTCTTGTAAACATACATAGTAGCAGCACCACTGCCCAGAAGGGTCTGTCCGCCTGAGCTGGGCCGGCAGGCCAGGAGGGCAAGGCTGGCCGTCTGGCAGTGGAGTCTGTCCCCTTCGGCGGCTTCTTCCTCCACTTGGCTGGGTTGTCCTGTGTGTGTTTTTGCTGCAGAGCCTCGGGAAAATACACTGAGTCGTTGGCCGACCAGTGGCTCACACAGAGGCAATGACAATCATGAGGTGGGGAGAAATGTTGGAAATGCTGGCCAGAAGGTCAGGGGCCAGACGGGACAGGTGACTCTCCGAGAACTCGCAGGGTGGGAAGATCTGCAGCACGTAGGCAGGCTGGAGAAGAGGACAAGAGCATAAGTGGGACCCCGTCTTCACATCAACCCCACTGCCATTCCTCTGAACAGGCCCAACACAGAGAGCCAGGTTGAGTCAGTTCCCCAACCAGCTAAGTCTCCGTGGCTTTGTCAGAAAACTAACGTGAACTAATTTCCTGCGACCCCCTTCTATATAATTAGGCTAAAGACAAACCTGCTGTATCAGCTGTCCCTTGATTGTCTCCAGGATGGGCAATGGTGGCCCCACCCAGACACTGCTTATTTCCTCTACCCAGAATGCCCTTTGCCCACCTCTAAGAAACTCCTGAACTGCTCTGGCTGCACTAGTGGGCCATGCCACCAGATCAATCAAATTGCATGACCACCCCCACCTGTGTGCACCGAGGAAGGACACTGGGCAGGGAGCTGACCTGATTGGAGCCAGGGTTAGGAACATTGATGATCCCTGCCGCCTGCTTGGCCTGTAGATAGGTGATGAAGGCAGCCTTGAGGGATTCGGTCTGGCTCACGACATCCTCTTGGTCACGGCCACAGGGCAGAGCCAGCAGCAGACAATACTCTGACTCCACCTGGGACAGAGGCAACTGTCAGGGGCCTCCTCACAACACACAGAGGCCTGTCCAACCCAGGGGGTTTGGCTCCTATGTCCACAAAAGCTCCCACCTCTGAAACGACCTGAAAGTCCACCCCTAAATTTGTTGAATGAAGAAAAAAAAAAGCCTTGTTTTATGTCTAGAGGCATTTTACACTCTGAGGAGAAAGAACATGCCCAGCGCCATCTGCACTAAGAATGCCATTGCTGCAGCCCATAACAAGGAGATAGGCAGCTGGGGGCCACCCACACCTTATATCCCTGGGTGGGGCAGCTGCTCACCTGGGCCCCATCTTACCGTCATCCTTCGGGTAACCCCTTCCAGCTGTGAGGCCTCCAGCCTCATCCTCTGGGCAATCCTCAGTGGGGGGCCTCCTTCAGAGAGGGGTAGAGACCGATGGGCCAGGACATTGTTGCCAGAGACAAAGTGGAGCTGCACAGCAGCTGTGTCGTTCTTGAGGGCCAGGAGGCCCTGCCACACAATGGGGTACTTCTGTTCAAGGGGAAACAAACAGGAAGTGAGCTCATGACTGGACATGGCCCTAGGCAGCAGGCTTACTGTGCTAAATCAAGTGGGGATCTTAGGACATTTTAACACAGCACCAAGCTTGGAAAGGAGCAGTGGGGGACCCCTCCCAGACTTACCTTCAGAAGCTGGACCATATCCACAGGCCTCTGGGAAGTCAAGTGTGGAGAGGAATCTTGTTTGGGGGAGGGCTGGGCTTCAGTGTACAGCAGAGCCAATCCTGGAGGGGTGCTAGGGCCCGAGGTTGTGGAGACAAACAATGGCTGCTTTGGGGCAGCCTGGGCAGGGAGAGGGCACGGAAGGTCAGGCTTCATGGAGACAGATACAGGGGAGGGATAGGAGATCTGGCTTGTTTCTGTCTGGGTCCTCTGAACCTGGACATGAGGCTCAGCTGGTCTGTTTGCAGGTACGGTTGGGAGGCGAGGCTGTTCTACTCCTGTCTGGGTCCCTTTCGCCTCCTGGGAGACCTGAGGCATCTTGCTGCTTGGTGGCTGGCTAAGCTGTGAGGGCTGCGTGGGCTGGGCAGGCTGTGTAGACGGCACAGGCTGCTGGACAGGCTGTGTAGACTGCACAGGTTGAGTGGGCTGCAAAGGCTCACTTTCAGGAGGGGGACCCTAGAGTTGGGCAGGAAGAGATAGGGACAAGGTGAGAGTCTGTTATGAACAACACCTAGCCCCCAACCTACTGGCCTTTGGCCCCAGCAAGAGTCAACTATGAGCATCTCCTCTCAGCTAGGCTCACAAGGGGCTGGGGGGTGGGGCGGGGGACACGACACTTTAACCAGTTGGTGATGCATTCTGGGGCTCAAGATTGAGGGTTCTGGTAAGAGGAGGTAACGTGTTCCCTCCCTCCCTCCCTCCCCACAAAGAGCTCCTTCCTGTGTCCTTAAGCTCTCTGTGCTGTGATCTGACCCCTGAAATTTAGGAAGTTTCTCTTTAAACCCACAAAAAGAATGACACACTTTAGGAACCACACTGGCACCTCAATCACTGTTTGCACTAGAAGGCTGATTTGTAGTGCTCACCTGAGTGGGAACCTTGGTCCGGGAAGGCAGGCCGATGGAGGCGGTGGCAGGAAACTGAGTGTGAGCGAGCTGAGCCGGGCCATGGTAGGTGCGGATATCCCCGCATCTGTACTCCTGAAACAGCTCCCCCCCACCGGAGTGTACGATCTGCACCCCATGGGTCACCACCACAGGCGGGCTCAGAGGCAGCCCTTGGAGCTGGTTGCTGGGGGTGACTGTAAGGATTCGGGCCTCGCTGTGAGGGGCAGGGGCTGCTTTGGCATCTGTCATCTTGGCAGCTTCTTTCCCTGGCTGCTGAGGGGCCTTGCTGGCTGGTGGCACCTTCACTATACCATCTGCTGCCCGGGGCTGCTCACTGACTGCTGTCACATGAGGGTGCACCATGATCCTCACGTCCCGGGGCACAGTGTATGGGTGCAGTCGGTACTCGGACTGCATGACCAGTACTTCCGACTGCACAGGGGCTGCGGCTCGAGCAACAGGGAGGTGATAATGCACTTCTTCCTCTGGAGCGTGTTGGGAGGCCAGGGAGGACACACCAGCTGTGGCTGGCTGGGGCGTGCCTGCCCGCTGTGGAGCCCTGACCTCTATTTGCTGGGGTTGCAGAGGGGCCCGAGGTGAGTGAAGTGCCTCTGGCCGGATGCTGTAGGTGATGCTAGGCAGTGTGGGCGTGTTCATTCTCACTTCACCCTGGGACAGATGACTAAGGGAGACAGTCTGGGTGATGCTGTGGGGTGGCATGATGACAGACTGCTCTGGGTGTATGCTGGAGATGAACTGAGGCACAGGAATGCCTGCAGCCAGCATGACTGTGGCATTAGTGGAGAGCGCAGTGGACGTGGTCCTGCTGGGGTGGCATGCCCTTGGGAAAAGAGATGGAGCAGGCCCACTGGGTCGAGGAGAATGTGCGTCTGGCTTTGTGGCGGCCAAATGGGAGACAGTTCGATCTGTTGGGGTGCTGGGCCCTGAGGTGATGTGGTTTGCTTCTGCAGGCAGTTTGCTGGGCAGAGCAGGAGGGTGGTGGGGAGTGAGAGCAGACCCCAGGTTAGCCGGCTGAAGGACCTTAGTCTCTATTTTGAGAGTGACAGGGTCAGCAAGCTTTTTATTAGTGGTAACTATGCTTGGGGTGAGAACCAACTGGTTGTGAACCAGCACTGGGGATGTGTTTATGCCCTGGGTGAGAACCTTCACTGTGCCACCCTGGGTGACAGGGGTGGACACAGAGAGGTGAAGGGGCTCAGGTTTCTCCAAGGAAGGACGGTCGGCTTTAACAGATGAAATCACCGGAGATGCATTATATGTCTGGGCAGTTAGCACTAGAGTAGAGTGGGTGGCCACATTTGCATAGCCTGAAGGAGTCTGAGGGCCTTTGGGTGGTGGCTGTGATGGTGCAACAGAATCAGGTTTGACCTGGGACTTGGATACCGACTGTTGAAATTCAATGTCCATGGCACTCGCTGGGGGGATCTGGCTAATCTTGGCGCTGATCCGCTGTGGGCCTTCAGTCTTCTGCCCCGAATAGCTCAGGAGCACAACTCCTTCGGAAGTGTTCACACGCAGCCCAGCTCCAGAGCCTGAGTCTGCTGGACGCTCGTCAATCACAGACATAGACCCTGGGTGGAACCGAATGTTTTCGTTAGTGCTTGACCTCTGTTTGCACTTTGCTGGTGGTGCAATCACGGCACCTGCCACAGTCAATGCACCTGTTGTGGTGGCAGTCACAACACCAGACGCAGCAGTCACTGCACCTGCTGTGACTGTCACTGTACCCGCTGAAGCACTCACTGCAGCCGCTGAAGCACTCACTGCAGCCGCTGTAGCGCTCACTGCAGCCGAAGCGGCATTCACCACACCTGTGGCAGTGTTCACTGTGCCCACAGTAGCATTCACCGGAGTGGTGAGAACGTTCACTGGCCCTGTCAGAACATTTACTGGCCCCTTTAGGACATTGACGGGGCCAGCAGAAGTGTTCACCAAACCTTTCAGTGTCGTCACTGAGCCCTTCACAGGGCCTTTCAGGGCATTCACTGGGCCAGTCAGTGCATTCACTGGGACCAAGGAGACATTTACCAGGCCGGTCAGGGCGCTCACCAGGCCAGTTAGGGTTTGAGGAGCTGGTTTTGCCAGAGTTATCTTTTGCG